AGAGACGAAATTTTTTTTTTCCTTTTTTTAAAAGGGAAGAAGACTAGGTCAACAATATGCAGGCAACAACAACAACAAGACAATAAAGAAAAAGAAAATAAATATACGGAAAAATCAAGAAAAAAATAAATAAATAAATAATAATAATAATAATAATAAGAAATCCGTGCGTTTCTTATAAATTTATTTTGAAAGTATTGAAATATGGAAAAAATGTGGGATGAGTCATACTCAGCCTTTTCCTTCTTTACCAAAGGCATAAAAACTGCGTAAAGTTCGACAAGAGAAAAAAGAAAAAAAGAACCAAAATCCAAAAGAAGAAAAAGCACACGTGGTGAATTAACTTCCACGATTTCTTCTCTTGTGACCCGTGTTGGGTAAAAATCAAGAGAAAATAGACACATCTGTGCATATTAGACACACACGCGCATATATACACAAATTAGTAAATATATATATATTTTATTTTTTTTTATTTTTTTTTTATTTTTTTTTTAACATGACTCGTTTTGCTTCTTTTTTTTTTTTTTTTTTTTTTTTTCCTTTCTTCTTCATCATCCATTAGGTGATCGAAAGGAGAAAAAAAAAAAAAAAGAAAGCCAAAAAAAAAAAGTAGGGGGTGGAAAGAAGCTAATAATAATAATAATAATAATAAAAGTCTGTACAATGAGGAACCAATTGATAGAAAGAAGGAAAATTAAAAATAAATAAAATAAATAAATAAATTGTGTGTTCGCAAATAAATTAACCAGGTAAACTTGCAGACTGGTGAAGACCTGTATTTATGCCGTATGGGTTGTGCTGCCAGGAACGTCTGTTGCCAACAAGTCTTCTCGTTGCCGTAGTGACAGTTAAAGCCGGTGGTAGTCCTCTTGAAGATGTCTTTGGACGTTCATGTGAGGCTCCCAGAGAGGATTCCCGCGCAAGTGAGTGCTCCACATCCACGTCTCCATCACTTTCTGAACTCGTCAATGGGTTTGTGGCTATATACGGCACTACTCGTGATGGTGTTGGTTGTGATTGGGAAATGGGAATGGCGGTATTTGGGCGTGGGCGCATGGGAGTGGGTGTGCCTAGTGAGAAGGAGAGTGGACCTCGCTCGACAGCCGCGGGCGGGGCGTATCCTCCCATACTCTCCGGCAGGGAGGCGCCGTGGGCTACAATATCCATTGGTGGAGGTGTGAGACTACTCTCTGGAGAGAAGGCGGCAACGGGATGTAAGAGTTGTGGTCGTGTCGGTCTGTTCTGCAGAGTGTTGTGTCGATTGTTGTTATTAAAACTGGCGGTGGGAAATGATGTCCATGAGGAGGAACCGCTTGGAGGCCACGGGGCATCATAAGTAGCGGCCCACATCTGTGGTGCTTGTGATGGTTTGGGAGTGCCATCATATACACCTTGCATGAGTGGATATCCACGTAGTTGTTGTTGCCGAGATACGGAAGTAAACACCGATCCACCCGTCGTATTCTTATTATTAGTAGTATTATTAGTATTGGTATTATTACTATGAATAGGGGTATTATTAATATTAGCATTGTTATGGCCAGTAGGATTGGTATTGGTATTGGTATGGCTTTCACTGAGGGTATTATTATTATTATTATTATTATTATTATTATTATTATTATTATTATTATCGCGTTGGGCGGAGAGAAGGGGTTCTGTGATTTCCTTGCAAATATGTAGAAATCGACAATCCTCCGCATAGCGACAGCGATCAAAGACATGCAGTCGACAAATCACTTGATCCCGTGCGTCTAACACCAGCCGTGATGCCTCCTGATCTGCACTGTGTGTATTCAGACCATTTCCATCCTCATTATTATTCCCATTCTCATCCTCCTCCTCCTCCTCGTCGCGCTCCACCACTCGGGCGTATCGCTCCTTCAACAAACGCCGCAACGCCGTTGTGTAACTCACGCGGTTGAGCGGCACATATCCGCCCTCAAACGTCACTTCCGGCAGATCCAACACCACGCGTGAGAGCCACGACTGTTCATTTAATATCCCCGCGTGGTCCTTATCCCCGTGCAGCGTGCAGCAGCAGGGAAGACTATCCACCTGATTGCGCAGCTCATTCACGACGGTGAGATCGGCGTGGACTTGATGGCACTCCGCCCCGCGGCGGCAGCGGTTCTGCAGAAAGAGTTGACAGAGACTTGGAATGGTGGTTCGCTTCTGCGCGCGGGTGGGAAAGACAAACTCGCGTGGAATTAACAATTTGCGGGTGGCGGGGTCGACGACGACCATACAACGAACCCCGTCGGCCCGCCAAACGGTGTGGCGCTCCGGCTCGCCCGTTGGGTCCGCACTGCCGTAATCATAACTGGAATGAGAGTTGTACATCTCTCACAGATATTCACTGTTGTTTTGTTTATTTCTTTGTTGTTTTTCTTTTTTTTTTTTTTTTT